ACCTGTGTTTGTCAACATTTCAGGTGAATGGCCATTTTACATCACCTACCAGTAGAATTTTAAAATCACAATTAAATATTGATCTCTTGTGGGTTTTGGAGAGGGTATAAGTTGTGTTTTTTTAGGAAAGCCTCTACTTAACCTGCATCTGCTAAATCACCATCAATGTTATAGCAGTCCTGCCTGTAGCTCGCTTGGACTGGAAGCTGGACTCAAGCATCAAAAAAACCTTTCTTGGCTTTTGGACCTACGACCTAAAAATATTTTGTCTCTTGATCTGATGATAATAAAAATTCCTAGGAGCTGGATAAGGTGAAGAGTGGTGCCAGTGAGATATGCTCTTTCAAAGGGTAGATCAGTGAAAGAAACCATGTTAGAACATCTGTTATCCAGAGAGTCGTAACTGAATATTGATTTTCATCTGAAAACCAAACTCTGCCTTTATTATTTATGTGCAACTGACTTCATGCGGCCTTTGGGCTGGAACAAGGAAGGTTTTTGTGTTACAGTGGTGGCTAGAGGGCTCATGGCCCTACTGTGTGACATACACTGGTTCAGCCTAAAATGTAATCGTTGCCCTGCAGGGCCTAGCATCTACAAACTTCAGCCAAGAAGTAGGAATTGAGCACAGATCTGATGAATGGCAACCCAATAGCCTACCAGCTAGTTCACAGTGTCCCAGTTTGATTTCTACTCCTTTTCTTCATGGGAGCATAAAAAATACCTCTAAGGCAAGAGGCTTTAGTTGTCACATTGTCTTCAATGCCAGACATAATTGCAAAATACTGTGATGATACACTGTATATGATGCACATAACTGAGAAAATACCTGAGTGAATGGTAACTGGTGTGGAAGAGTATTACTCTTAGTACCTGTCACAATGGCATACTTTTCTTGCCATCATGGTAACAGTAATTTCACTGATTGACCAGATTTAGGCTACTGGTACATGATAATCTGGCCCATGGGAAGCAATTAAAGACTATTTGCTTAGTAGATAGCCAGAGAGTGAAAGATCAGGTCCAAGCTCTAAATGATTTTCAGTTTCTTAATGGCAGTAGAAGCTAAGCACAGCAGTAGGGATGCTAAGCAACTTTAAAAAAGGGCTAAAACTATCAGCTGAAAACACCCAGAAGAAGAGTCAGTGAGATTTTTGCTCTTATATTAGTCTGTCTTGATGATTGTATCCAATGAGCTTGGCTTTTTTACCTTATCATGCACCAGTGGCCTGAAATACCAATTTAGCTAAGTAATTACTGAACAGAACAATTATTTAATTGCTGAACTTGAATATTAACAGCCAAATAATAGTAGCTAAATAAATAAAGATTGGTTTTCTGAATCCCAGTAGTTCCTTTGAAAACACATCAGCTAGGAACCTGGACCAGTTCAACCGTATATGTGGTAATTTGTTCAGTTTGTATACTTCTTCAAGTAGTCCCTGGTCATTAACTTTTTTACTTATAAAGTCTGTGAAGTTGCAAAATACAAATGCACTCACCCCAAACAGAAATTACTCATAATAATACTGCTGCAGTAGTCAAAGAAACTATCATTTTTATACGAGTCAGGAACCCAAGATATATTTGAGAGGTACAGCGAGCTCACACCACTTAGGTTTACTGAAGTACTTTTTACCATACTCTCCAGAGCAGTAAAATGAGCATAAAAGTGGGTGGAACAAACCTTCCGTAGGAACAGAAAACAGTGCTTGTGTTTTCCACATAAACTCTGCCTTTAGATACACCAAACTCTCTCTTTTTAAGGCATTAGTAGCTTTGCTGTGCTTTTATATGGGTAATTTACATCTCTAAATGTTAAAGATATCTGCTGGATATACTCCAACTAATAAATAATAATGGCACCATATACGTTAATTTACATCAGATGTCTCTCTAGAACACCTCCCTTTCTTTTAACTGCTTTTTGTAAGGCTTATCAGCAAATTCCTCATCTTAAAGCCTTAACTAAGTATTCTGTTAATCTTTATCCTGTTACCTTTACTCTGTTTAGTTTTACATTATATGGCATAATTCTTCTGACATAATCAGCTAGCTTCCATGATGGAAGGACACCAACTCCAGGTATGCAGGGTACCTTTGCTGCTGAGGACTGTTTGAATTCCACAGTGAAATGTGAACAGATAGGGTATTTTCAAGTGAAGATAGCAACATAGCAAATAGCAATGCAGTGTTGTCATTTTGAGGTACAAGGTAGGACTCTGTTATTGTGATCAGAGTTATTTAAAGGCTGCTTTCAAATTAGCTTTGCAGTCACAAATATGTAAATATTTAAAATTTTTTTTCTAAGCGAACATGAACCAGTTCCTTGAGTGAAAACAGAACATGTCTGAATTGAATGTACTTCTGTATAAAAATGACGGTTTCTTTCACAGGAAATACATATCAAAAGTAATGTATCCGATGGAACTTCAGCCTTGACAGAAGTAGATAAATAAAAGTTGAAATGTAGTGCTAGCTTTTGTCACTGGAAACATAATGCAGAATTTAGGCCAAGATGTATTATAAATTTAGTGGAATTTTATACACAATAGCCAAACTTGAGAGATTGTTCCAACCAAGTATAACACTTCTTTCTTTAGAGTCTTTCCTATTTTGCAACTCTGACTAACTTCAGCCATTGAACTCCAGCTATGCATGGTGAGATGAAGGAATCAGGGTCAAGCGTGTACCTCGCATTGCCACTCTTGTATAGATACCAGAAAACTGCATGCTACATTGTGGGCCCACCATCTGAACTTTTTACTGAGACGTAATCTTGTAGAAAATCAAAATACATAGGGCCTATTCGTTACTTCTTTGATAAAAAAGTGCAATGAAATCAACATGGCTTTCTTGTCCGCTTACCTATTTCTCTTTCTTACTCACCACTCACTACTTGTATTCCACCTTCATCAGCCCATGTTGGTTTTCCTAAGTTTAGCAGAGATTTTGCATGAGCAAAACATATTAAATTAGCAGTGTAGATTGGCTGATCTCAGGTGACTCACTTTCTACTCCCAGTAAGACTTTGCATCCAAACTTTGGATGTCTACTGCCCAACCAGTAAATTTTCTACAGTGCAGCTGAGCTGTTGCTCATGTGATGGAGGAAAGAAAACAGGCAGCTTCATTCTCTTTTGGATGGACTTGGGTGAACGCGCTGCTACATTCCCAACCTACACAAGCTGTTTCCTCCTTCCATGGTGTTACTCTTTCATGGAACCAAAGGACACTCAGTTCTCTGCACTCAGCAGAGAAGAGAAATTCTGCATTACTGCAAAGGAGGGAGGGAGGGAGGGAGAGAGAGAAGCTTTGTGCTTTCCCTGCTTCTCCCTCATCCCAACTTTGTGCTCCAGCCAGATGCAAAGTGACCCTACACAGTTACATGTGTGGACTTAAAGATTACACAACAGAAAGTGGATGGTCCCTTTTTTTTCTCCTCCTGTATACGGAACTCCCATTGGCTTTCCTGGGTGCTCCCTCTATAGACTGACGAGCAGTAGGTCAGAGGAGACGGAAAGGCTTTTTACCTGCCAACCCCAGAGTTCAGGATGTGTTGTTTCTCCTGCAGCAGTTGATGACACCCTAACACCTTAGCAGCACTGGAGCTGCATTCCTACGCTGTAACAGGGGAAGCAGGACCAAGGGCCTGAACTAAGGTCTTGGCAGGTAAGTGAAGGAGCAACCAGCATCAAACAGCTTCGTTTGAAAGTGTACGTCTTTGTAATGTTTAAGTCTTAATATGTGCTCTGCTTTACCTGGGAGCTTAAACTTCCAGTTTTCAGAGAAGTATTTGATATCACCTATGAACTCTGCCAAACGCTTGAAAAAATGTTGAAGAAACTCATAAATGCAGAGGGGCTAGAAAGAAAGGTTATTTGTGCTAACTATATCTCAAAGCTGGGATTTCTTCTGAGAACTGAGTAGAAGTTATTCAGATTAGTGGGGGAGGGAGAATCTTTATGCTACCAACATATTTTTGTATATCACCACTTAGGATGACTGAGAGCATCGTTGTATGGTGAATACTCAATATTCAAAATATAAGTTCTCTTGGGATTGGGAGGGGGGATTTTTTGCTTGGTTGCTTGTTTTCTCTTAATTGAACACATAGGGAACATCTGATAAAGGGAAATCTCCATCTCCTTACTATGTTCCACCACTTAAGCTTAATTATTGGAACCAGGTTTCTTATATGAATACTTATGTATGTCATTCAAAACATGGTTTATTTCAGTAGTTATCAGGAATATTGCTGGCAATACCATGTTCCAGAACATTCATAGAGAGCACACACAGAGGAAGTCGCTACCACTAAAGCAAATCTGATTACAAAGATATTTACAGAAAAATAATTGATGCTAGTTACGAGCTCAAAAAAGAAGAAAAAAAATTTTAAAACATCCTTACATAAAGGAAGTCTTTCTTTTCCTTGTTTGTAGTAATATGAGGGTAATGGATGCCTTTCTGTTGAGAGGCCAGTAAGTTTTACTTTCTGGAATGAAAAACCAATTTAGGTCAGAGAAGGAAATCATAAGGAGCTGCCACACACTAAGTTCTGTATCTGAGCCATCTACTGCCACCGTATCCTGGAGAGAAAAAAGGGAACGTTCATAAAGAATGAACAACCATCCAGAACTAGTGGGGCACCAAAGCCTCATCAATGTCCAATTCAGATATTCTTATCCCCCCCCATCCTTCTTGTTACTAATATTCTCAACTTACTGAGTGAAATCACTCCAAAAGTAACCTCTAAGTTTGTGTCCATCTTTCAGTGCATAAACTAAAAAATTACACATGCTAAAAGCAACTGTTAATTGATATTCATCAGAATTAAAGGGAATAGTCGTTATCAAAAATTTCTTTCCAAAATTCTAGGGGCAAGCGTGAAAAATGACACTTTACATAGGTTTATATATTTTAAAAGTTTGCATTACTATAGTCATTGTTTTAAATTAACTTTCTCTAGACAAAATAAAGTGTTGTACTACATTGCAGCCTCACTGTTAGGAATGAAGATAGAGGAGACAATGCAGGAAGGCCAACACATACAACCAAAATGGAGAGTATCCAAGTCATAGAAGAATGGTAAGTTGGTCAAACTGTTGCCTAGTAAATGTTTTTAATGTGCCTATAGCTAATATCAAGAATTGCCTTGGTTTTTATGCTTCGGGAATGTCCTTTTAATTACTTTTCCTCAAAAAAAATCTTTACAAAAGGAATAAAAATGTCCTGACAATGAAATGCCAGCAGAGACATGCATCAGTCAGGCTTACTTACAGTTTCTTTTTTGTGGGGAAGAACTATGGGGAGGAATGAGAGGTGCACGGTGGTTCCATAGACCTGTGGGTCTCTATAAGAAGCCTCTGCTAACCTGTGGGATCATTTTCTTCTGTTTATCCAGACAAGAATAAAAACTAATGGGCACAAGTGTACTTCACAGTCAGATTTTTATCATGGCTACCCTTCATAAAACAGCTTGGACTATGGTTTCACTGGAATTAACCAAGGAAGCACGTACCTTGAAAAACGGGCTAACACGCACTGGAAGTCTGAGCTTCTATTTCTGTCTAAAGACTGGGCCCGTGTTTATTGTGTTGGGAAAAATGCTAACCTATAAGTAGCCTTGAGTTCTCTAACCCCATAAAAAGTAAATTAAAACTTAACTTTAGAGGATATGATTGATGGTAAAAGCAACTCAAAAAACTCATTGCCTTCATTGCTACTCATGGTCATTTATGAGAGGTCAATGTTAGAAATTTCCACAAAATACTGTAGTGGAGAGAGCTTCGCAATAGACAACAAGGGAGCACAGGGTGCTTGTCAGCTTCGTCCAATTCAGCAGCTTCTTTTCACTCTCCTCAGAGACTTTTAACCTTCAAATCTATATGTTTATACTTTTTGGTTCAGATTACAATTATTTTGATGGATAGTTTAAATATTAAACACTTTCTCATTTATTAGATCTTTTGGACTGATGAAAAGCTATCACAAATAGCTTCCCATCATCCAGTCTGCCTTGCATGCAGAGTAGGAGTTGATAAATGGACTTGAAGAGAAATCATATAGACAACTGTGACTTACTGTGCAGCATGATTACACAGAAGCTATTAACAACAGCTAGTAAACTCTTACGTTGGATCCTATCAGGAAGGGGAGGGTGAGGACTCAGAATTAAGTTTGAAAACATATTTAATTGTTGTTAAGTAACTTGGAGTATTACCTTCTCAAGCTATTCATTGGTATATTAATGGGTTAATGATGCCAGTTAGTCTTCTGATCACTTATCCAGTGCGCCCACTGTTACAAGCCACGAATAGTTGCCTTCAGAAAATGGAAATAAGGACTTTTTCCCATTTCTTCACTCTCCAGTTTTGCCCCCAACATCCATCACATCTTGTGCCAATCGATCATCATTCCGGTCAACAGCACCAAACAGAGGGAAGCTTAGCAACCTTTAGGTACAAGCACAGAGAAATATGCTAATTTAAAACCTCTCTGAATTACTATTTTGTTGGGCCTCATTAGCATGCTTTTGGCTGCCAAGTGCCTTTTGTTTTTCTTGTCCTTCCTGAACCAAATAACATGGCAGCCAGTGATTGGCCAAAGACCATCAGAAGCAGACAGGGACATCAGGTGTCATCTAAACCCCTCATGAAAGAGAGTCTATTGTCAGCTCTGTGAAATCACATCTCCTTTAACTGCAGAGGGAGGAATTCAATGCTGTTGTGGGATTTTGTCTGTGAGTCTGATGGCTAACAACACTAGTAGAAAACTTGTAGAAAGCCAAGTACATGTCTCGTAACATTAAACACATTTAGTGGGCTATTGAGATAATGAATGCACAAGTGAAGAGAGAACAAAATTCCCCTGTCACTGCTGAAGCCTTGTTGCTTCCAGTTTTCACTCTGGACTAAAGTGCAGTTGAAAGGAGAATTTTTTGATGAATGTATGAAAACACTGTTACAAAAATAGAAGCATATTTGTAATGATACTTTGCTTTTGCAGCCAAAACCCTACTGCAGATGAAATTTTGTCCTGGGCTCAGAATTTTGACAAGATGATGAAAACACCAGCTGGGAGGAACCTTTTCAGAGAGTTTCTTCGAACAGAGTATAGTGAGGAAAACCTGCTTTTCTGGCTTGCCTGTGAAGATCTAAAGCAGGAACAGAACAAGAAAGTTATTGAAGAAAAAGCAAGACTTATATACGAAGATTACATTTCTATACTATCACCAAAAGAGGTAAAGCTGTAAATATTACATTTGCATTTTCTGTTATTCCAGAGCAGAAATGTTATACCCTGGACTGCCAGATGGGGCTCTGAAAGTCTGCCTGATTTGTCAGATGAAAGTCTTAGTATGGACATTAAATCAGGAAAGGAAGAGACAGAAAAAGTAGAGACACAGATGCTAGGCCATTAAGCATCAGTGGCCACAACACCTCAAAGCTCTCTATAAGACTCAAGAAACTCCAGTAAGAGAAGGATGAGAAATAGGTATGCTTCTTTAGTAATGCTACATACCTGCCAGAGAGAGGAAGTAAGTAATGCAAATGGATTTCTGGAGAAAAGGCATCAAAATTAAGGAATTTAAATCACAGTCATTATAGATTTATCTGCTGCAACAGCAGTCTGGGAGAAAATCCAAATTTGCACTGGTTATTCCTATGTGAGAGTCCAGGAATGGAGACCACATATTTTCTCTAATGAAGGGTGTCATAATATCTAGGAAGTATATAAAAGTTTCTTCAACCCATAAGCTGAAATAGACAAATTCTGAAATGATCTTCACCTGGAGTAAAGAAAAAGCATCCCCTGCCAAATCATGTTTTGGAATAGAGAGAGATAGATGTATATTTAAGCACTATAGAAGAGTCTTTCTTAGGCCATGTCATGTACCTTTATCTCCTTTGCCTTGTCTCTGTGCATTACATCTGACTTCCTACTCAATGGCATTATGCTAATTTATGCTCACTGTGGACCTTGCTTCCTACAGTTTACTTCTACACTGCATTCAGTAATAATTTGCAGCTTCATTCATATGAATGAAGCCAACAGCAATTTATAGCTCCATTATCTTGTCTTGTGCCGTAGTGTGTACTTTTGCTTTGGAGTGAGATAACTGCCAGTACAGCAAGCTAATAATGAGTTTTTCTTATAATATGCCTAGTGCATATATATGTGTGTTAAATGCTCAGTTGTCTTTTTAAGCTAAGATCAACCAGCAGGTAACATTCAAACACTGCCTAAGTGTTGTTTGACTTAGGGTTTAAGAAAACCACTCGCAAACTTGATGCACTGGACGTGTGCAGATGTCATCAATCCAGTTGCTCCTGCCCCTGCTGGAAATCTTATGAGGCAGACGAGAACTGTTTGCAATGCTTTAGATCAGCATGGGAGCTGAAAAGTTCTTGTTATCCAGGCATCCCATTCCAGATGTTATCTTTTGGCATAAGAGCTGAAATATTTAGCATCACTTGTTCAGTGATGAAGTTATTGAGGCAGGAAGTCTTAGTGTTCTAAACACATACCTTGTATTCATCTGTTTAGCAAGGAGATACCTTCAGTAATTCTAACTAGTTTTGCCATCTGCCTTTAGTGAGTCACTGAAAAACTACAACGTAAATTAATAGTACCATAATTAAATTTTTTCATTCTGTAACTGCAATTAACTTTTACTATATACAGTGGCACAAAACCCCACCATCCTGCCAAATTTGAGCTTTTATCTCAGCTATTATATTTGATAATGAACAACCAATTAGCTAGCTGCACAAACGGTTTTTGCTAAGATACATGCATGTGCAATGTGCGTCAGGGGGAGAATTGCTCGAATCTTAGTGCGCCGTTTCTGTGCTACAGAAGTGCAATGGTGTAGGACTGAAACCTATTCAAATAAATTCTGAAGACACATGGCTGCAACACTCCTTCTCAAAACTACCATAACACTACACCCTGCACGCTGTTGTGTCAAAAAGCAGGTAGTCACTGGCTGAGCAGGCCCACTGGTCTGTTCAGGCCTGCTGCGCAGTCCAGTCTGCATGCACAGTGATGTTAGACAATTAATGCAATCAGAAATTGTTGAAAGGCAGCCCAGAAAAGAAATGCCACTTCCAGATGGATCGATTCCTTAACTCAGCTAGCTGTGGAGCTGCCCGGACAGCCGTGCCAGCACAAGGGAGGGGAAGCGCCAGGCTGGGAAAGGAGGGAGGCTGTTCATGGCAGCTGACGCAGCACCGCTGCCCATCCCTACGGGAGGCCTACAGGCTGCCGGAGGAGCGATGAGCACTTAGAAGGAGAGTGAGTGCGCTAAGCAGGCGTAGTGGATGTTCTGCGGAGAAAGCGCGCTTGAGTAACAGGTACGGTTTGCTAGCATGCTAGCATGAACAGGCAACAGTTTGCATCATAGTTGTGCCTTGTGACTGATAACCAAGTAACAGCAAGTCTCGGAGGAGGAAGAGCTTGCCTGCTGTGGCGGTAACATACTCCAATAGGCCAACACACCAACAGATTCTACAGTTGGTACTGAAGATATAATGAAAATGTATATTCATACCTCAGTACCATACCATACTACTGTATTTCAAAGACTTTGCTTCACCACATATAAAAATATACAAGGCTCACCCATCCACACATGTTCTGAGTTTTCGTCTGAGTTAGCATCCATCACATAGCAAGGTACCTTGGCACGTGGAGCTTTCCAGGGTTCAACTCAATCCTTCAGACACTATGAATATCTATTTCTGTGAGTGCAGAGTAGTAGCGTCAGATTGCAACCTATGTAAATCACAGTAGCTTAACTAATCTATACTTGTTATTTCTCTATTCAGTATTTTAGCCTTTTTCTTCTTAGCTGAGTAAACTAAAATTTTTCTTCTTAGCTAGCCCCAGTGGGCTTCCCTGCTCCTGCCATTTTGTTTAATCCAGAAGGCATTAAATTTACTGTTTTTAGAGCATTTTGTGGATAAACTGTACATTTGCTGAAATTTCTAAGTGATATTCTAAAATCATCTGTGCATTCATCCCAAGCACAATATGCCCTTTTCTGTTCATTACAAATGGAAAGTAAATGAGAAGCTAAAATTGAAACTTGCTAACAACCTCAATATGGACACATGATATCCTGAAAGTATAACAGATGTTAAAGAGTCTTGAAAAGAAGAACAAATCTGAAATAGTTAATATTAATGGGGAGAGTAACATGATAAAAATAATAAAAAACTCTGGGTAATATGTGAGTAAAAAGTGTAGTGCCTGAAAAAAGGGGAAAAAAAAAATCTGTAGGGCAGACAGATGAGAATGCTGAATAGAAAGCTTCTAAAGATGTAACAAGTGGTCAGGAAAAAAACATTTCAGCTCTCTGAATGAGAGTCATTCAACATTCATTCCAGAGAAATAATTTTAAATATGTAAAAAAATATTTTTTTTAAAGATAAAATAACATCTCTCGAGAAATCCAGGTTACTGCAGAGCTTTATTTATTTGCACTGTATTTATTCTGTTATATAGCTGCATGTCCTCTAACAGATCTTAAGATGGATGCAAAGACCAAGTCAAAGCTGGAATAGAGTTGATGGTCTCAGTCTGTAATTGTGTGGTGGCTCTGAAAGAAGTACAGAGCATTACTTAAATAAACTGATAAACTTAGAAAGTTCAATGAAGCCCTGAGAAATTAAGATACATATAACAGCCTTTCTGATACTACTGTTTAATTACTGTCTGTTCTCATCTTCTTCAGGTTAGTCTTGATTCCCGTGTGAGAGAAGTGATCAACAGAAACTTATTGGATCCCAGCCCTCACATGTATGAAGATGCCCAACTCCAGATATACACCCTAATGCACAGAGACTCTTTTCCAAGGTTTTTGAACTCTCAGATTTATAAGTCTCTTGTCGAAAGTATTACAGGCTCTACTTCTGAAACTTAGTTTTAATTTTCAAATAAAATAACTTGATTTTTTTTGGGGGGTGGGTGGGATGGAAGAAAAGTAGTTTAATAACATCTGGAGCTGGGTTCCTGGAGAACTACAGTTTAGCACTACTCAGGCTACTGTGAAGAAAACAAATACATATTATAGTCTCTGTCTACATTATTACCAAGGTCCTCCTGGCTCAAGATGGCGTGGGAGGGGAACAATGGATTTGCCAAAATACATTTGTTTCACACTCCTTTCACCCTACTGCAGTCAAGATTGCAATGATGTATTTGTAGTTTTATGAACAGTCTCCTTGTGTATCCTCACACTGCATGTGCAAGGCAAAACTGCTTCACTTGCCACTTAGTTGTTGCAATATTTAATCCAATAACATAAATTATATCTGTATTTAAGAACTTTTTTGTGCAATACAGTCTTATGGTACATAGAAACAATTGCAGCAAACCAGAAAGAGGCTTGCATTTTTTAACATCACTAACTGAAAAAAGCCAATTTTTAAGGTGTAGCATTACTCAACATGCTCTACTGAGTACAATACACTGACTTTTTGAAGCCAACATTTCTGTACAGAAAAAAAAGAGCTATTTATCACTGTTTATTTAAAATAAATCAAGCGGAGAATTCCTCTGGTTGTTCACTGCCAAAACTGTGGCATTTTCATTACAGAGTTTGCAATGTCAAAAAAAAAAAAAAAAAAAGCAAAAAAAGCACAAACCACTTAAAGGGATCCATATCTGGGTGACACAATCTATGCGCTGATATTGTTTAATTGTTAAGAGAACAAAGATTTTCAATGTACATTTCAGATACTGTAATTGATTTATTAAAGACTGGCTATCCAGTTCTAACACTGTTGTATAATGTTATGTACTTGAGCAAAAAAAAAAACAAAAACAAAAACAAAAAACCAAAAAGCTTGATAATTTAGTTTTTTGAATAAAGAAATTTAATAAAAGATTGCCTACATGTAGCATTTTAGAGCATTTTAGAACATTTTGATGAATTGCATCTGTCCTGTAAGATTTTTTTTTTTCTGAAAGCTAAATCCAGTAAAAAATGTTTTTAAACAAAGTAACGTTTTATGAGGTGGCGGGTTAACGAAGACTTATCTTCTAGCCTCATTGATTTTGAGTAACTCCTTGACAACAAGGGATTTGGAGAGTAATATTAAACCAAACTTCAAGGGCTCCTGAACCTACAGTCCTTACCCAAGCAAAGAAACGCAACTGGTGTCTTTCCTGGGTAAAGAATCCTGTACTGAGCCCTTAATCTGAGCTAAGGCAGCACAGTACTCCCATCGCTTGGCTGCCATGGTGTTTTTAATAGGTGTTTGCTTGGTCTTTTTATCAAAAAATGTCCAATTTTAAGATGCATTTTGATGTTTAAAGAGACAGTGACTCGGAACTTAAAAAAAATCATCTTCATACGTACCCCTACCGTATACAAGCAAAATGAGCGTTATCATCCCTGACAAACTGCTAAAGATATACCAAGAAATGGCTTTGAATACTTGTTAAATATATATATATGAAGGTATGTGTGTATATATATATTTAATACTGACAACTCTGGTCTTATACAAAGACTTAAGAGGCCAGATTCTTCTCACGTACACGGGACTAACCACAGCTTGAGCCCGTTGCTTCCGATGGGACTGGAAGGTCTGGCAGTTGTGTCCTTGAGTGGAATCTAGCCCCAACACACTTGGCTCCAACCACCCAGTTACTCCTTGCAGGCAGCTGCCAGTGCCAGCTCTCACTGGTGCCGCTGCTGCCAAGGCGGGTCTGCTGCTATACAGTAACTGGTAGGATGTAGGTCTTAGATTATCTTCTGGGGCTTATTTTTTTTCCTTTGTTTTACTACCTCTCATTTTTTTAATTTCTTGAACATGCTTCAAATAGAAAGTCTGGGGAATTTTTTAATCATTCTTTTTACTTGAAACCTGTGTGCTTTTTTTGGATATATATAAGAACAATTTAACAAACTGTTTCTTAAACTCATTTGGTTTTGTAATTTATATAGAATTCAGGAGATGACTAAAAGGGCTATTCTCTATTCCCTATGCAAATATTTTAACTGTTGTAGTGTTTGACAAAATGGGATCTAAAAGAAAAATCTGCAAAGTGGAAAACAAATCTGTTTACAGTGGCGTTGCTGACTATCCTACCATATTCAGCACTTTTAAATATTGTTATTTATGAAAATGTAGTTTAAAATGCAAGACAAAATATTTATAAATGTTTCTTTTAATAAATACCTGTTTTGTCTGAAAGTATTATTGTGTTATGACAACTTTATTCATGTTGGTTAGCTATTTACCATTATGAATAAAATATTCAATTATTATACTGGTAGAATAATAGCTATGATGTTTACAAATCCTGAGGGGGAGAAATTCAGTGAGAAAGGACTTCCTCCTTCTACTGTGAAATACTGTTAGAAAAAATGAATTTTTCTGGCTTTTTTTCTTAACTGGAATTTAACTATAGTCTATGTCTAGTATCATTTGATTACAGTTATATTTACTGTGGTACTAAACATATACAGCATCATATATGTATATATTTACATAGTGTAATTTCAAGTTTGTTTGGTGTTTGAGGCACAATACATTTAGTCTACACATCTAAACAATGTGTAAGAGACAAAACTGCATGCATAGGTCTTTACAAATGTAGACTTGAATATTCTTAATGTTACTATTTGATGGTGACCTGCTAGTCATAAGCTATCTTTATAAGATATTTCACACCACTAGAAGTTCTTGTCAACATAGACAAGTCACCCTTTCAATAACAGTTTTAAAGCTAAATGTGCAGGCCCTAAAATATTAGCTTGATTTCTAGCATAAGATTCCAAAATCTGTGTTTGGAAAGTGTTACAATATTTTGAAAAATATTACAATGGTCTTCAGTGTAATACTGCAATGAAATCATGTTCAAAATTTCTTGTCTTAAATCCTCTATTTGGAGGGATTTAAAAAACAAACATAACATATGGAGTTTCTTTCTTGGAGCAAAAGCTCATATTAAAATGATTAATATACATTTCATCTATCAGTTTGGCTTTCCCAAATTTTTTATTAAAAAATAGATATGGTCCAAATGGACAACAAACCATGCCATAACATGATCTCATTGCCTATCATACAGTTCTTTGAACACAAATTGTGAAACAGTTGAGCTATTAAACTGATTTATTGTGCATGCAGTGTATGATACACTTTGAAAAACTGCCTACATCCACTCATTCTATAGCCTGGAATAAAATAAGTATGTATTTAACTTGTATTTCAGTTTTTCATGAGAATGTATATAGCAAGTGCACTACAGAAAGTGAGTTATGTTTTTGTCATTTTTGCCCAGTGTTTAATATTTTCTGTCAAATAGAGCCTAATGCTGAATAGCCACAAATAAGCAGAGCACTTGGGTATAATCCTAAGACCTTTAGGTTTCAAAGAAATTGAATATGTATTGTATTATGCATGTGTTCAACTTAGCTGTTTACAGTCAACTTTCAAATAACTGAGTGGAAAGTAGTTTGGGATACCCAGGATAAAACAAAACCACAGACAACATCGACAGTATTTGTATTAGATTGAAGGCATATATGGTATGAAGGAGGTTGAAGGTATGATGGAGAAAAGACAGGTCAGTGATACAGGTGACTGGGCTGCCTGAGTCCAGGCAGCACGGTGACGTGGAAGTGTGGCCATAGCACTTCCGGGTCCACAGCCTGTCCACTGCTCGCTTGAGCACCTGTGGAGTCCACATAATCCATTTGCAGGACAACACTGAGTGGACACAAACCAGACTTAAGCTCTGTTTTAAATTAAAAGCATGCTAAAGTGTCTGCTAGGCTGTAGTCTAAACCAAGCAAATAGAGAGGACCTACATTCTACCTTAAAGACAGGGTTTAAGCTGTCACCTGATTACAAACTTGCTCCCCTAGGCAGCAAATTGGATCACAAGGAGCACCTGCCTGTGGAACCAGTACCTAAAAAAGGTGGGAGGCTCTTTTGGAGAGAGCAGCTTGCTGGACTGACCACACATGAACAGGCAGCTTCTGTATGCAGTAAGTGCATAAGTATTCCACAACGCCGATTAAAAAGCAACTGAAGCTGATGTAAGAAAGTCTGTTAACTTCAGCAACTCTCTACACACCACAAGGAGTAAAGCTCACACCTCCACAATGTCTGTGAGCCTGCCTCACAGCGTTAACCCAGCCAACAACAGCCTGAGTCCTTATCAAATCCATCAAAGCAAAAAACTAAGGTTGCACGCAGACAGACAGCTATGATGTCTGCTCCAAGTTGATTTGAACCATGTCTAGCTACCAGTTTCAAAACAGGGTTTTTCTCAGCCCATAATGCTGTTATTTTTGGAGACACTCAAGAGTAGCACTGTAGCACATCCTAGGACATAGCGGCAGTGACAAAGGTTCTGTTCACCTACAGCCTGAGTACGTTTTCAGTGATAGAACATCAGCCCCATTCACAGAGTTACTGAATACTTCTGCCAGCAGCAGAAGAAAGAACAAGGTAATAATGGTGCTAAAATCAGCTGAAAAAAACACTGACATAAATACTGTCTGCATATTACTTTAATGTTATACCAAAAGCCAGATTTTGCCCCTTCCTTTTTCCATAAACTCACTCTGTGGAAATCCATCCTTCCAATTTAAAACAGGGATACAGTTCAGGTGATTCAAAGGCTGACCATCAGTCACTGACTCACACTACCTTTTTTTTCTTCTCAAAAACTTTACATTAAATCACCTGTTACTCTAAATTTCCTGAGTTCTGCATACTTCTCTCACAAGCAGGATTCACACAGCCATTAAGACTCTTATAATTGCTTCCATTGTTACAGAACATCAAAATATTTGGTCTATTAAACACACAAATTTGATGATTTTCCTTCACCTTTCTGAAAGAAGGCTTCAGGGAGCTTCACGGGCAGGCAGCAGCAAGTGCAAGAAAAGCTTTTGGTGGATGAGATTTCATAAGCAAGGGCCTGGGCTGTTTATCAGCGCCAGATTAGCTGCACAAACTGTACATTCTCCACAAAACCCTTTGAGTGTGATTTTACTTATAAATTATTGCTAGGGTATTTTGCCAATAAACCTTATTCAAAGTGGCGCATTTACAATCATAGGAAAATGTTTTTATCCAATCATTTATTTTAATGTTTAATAGTACGGAGAACAAATTTTCATGTTGACCATATTGCCTTTGGTTTTCCACAATGGAACAAAACTTCCAAGTTTTCATTTCTGACTACCAAAGCTACATCGGTGTAATGTAATGTGCAAGCATTACTCTTGCTTTTGATAGTACATTCACGAAAAATAACAATTTACTAATGTGTCATATGGAAGTTAGTGTTATTCCACCAGTGTAATTTAGTTGTAAAGTACGATTACCTAGTTCTGCTAAGACATGAACAAGGACAGAAGAACAGCAAAGGCCTGCCTCTGACTCCTCCATTAACTGTAATATAAAATACTGTCTAATAAAGTTTTACAGATAGTTGCACATTTTTATAATAAAGTATATTCTTCAAACTGTTT